TGTATTCCCTCCTGTTCTCCTACATAAAAAAAAAAAAAAAAAAAAAAATCCAAAATGGGTTTTTTTTTGGTGGATACATTGATATATGGTAAATGCCCTTCCAACCATTTCCCCTTTCTTACCTTAGGTCTCTGTTAGGGAGAAAATAGACCTTTGAGCTTCTGGGATCTCATTACCACGAAGATCTCCTTGAGACTTGGCAGATGGTTTGATTCTTCTCCAAAGGGTGCAAACTTATGCTTTACAATCTATATTTATAAATATATTTTATAAGAACGAGATATCCTGTATAAGAAGCCCACACAAAAAACAACCTAAAGGCTGGGGTAGAGAGAACCCCTACACAAAATAGAAAGCTTTTACAAAATATCCTTCCAATTCCTCAAGTCACGGAGAGGCTGTCGTTACACGAGAAATCCTTTTGAAAAGAGTTCCCCTCAGTATTTTCGTTCAGTTTACACTTGGTAAGCAAGAAGGGAGCTTAATATCTTCCCACTGTTTGTGAGCATGCTAACTCCGAAAGCCAGTGGTTCAGCATTCTCAACTCAGAAGCACTTTTAGCAAACATCAAATCTTATTTCTGATGTGATGATTGGTCGAGCTCTGGCTGCCATCAACTCAAATTCCCAGTCAGGATGCCAAACTTGTGATCAGTGGGACAAAAACAAAGGCAGTTGGGCAATTTCCTTAAGGAGACCTATTGAAGGTGGTGACACAGAACGATTGGAACACTTTTACCACCGCCCTTTAGAGAAACATCTCACTGCCTTACCTGAACATCTTTCTTGGACTCTAAAGAGAGATGACGTTATCTCTGTCAAGTATTTGTAGATTTCCTCTCAATTAATGAGCAATCTCTGCTCCCACTTTTTTGCAAACTTTGGACTGCAAAGCTACCCTAAAAGTGGAAGGTTTTCCTTTGGTCTTTATTGTTGGGAGCTTTCAACGAAGCTGATAAAGTTTAAAATGGAAAATCTCGACAGGGCTCTCTGTCCAACATGGTGCTCCTTGTGCAAGTGTAATGGGGAGGACTCAAGCCACTTATTCATATCCTGTCTAGTTGCGTCCTTCCTTGGTCCTCCTCCCACAAAGGCTTCAGTATTCCTTGGGTCTAGCATAGTGACATCAAGGCTACGCTGTTCCAGAACTCCCCTGGCTTTTTTTCTTATTCAGACCAAAAACGAATTTTGTGGCTCCTTTCCACTGCTGCTATCTGTTGGGTTATCTGGCTTGAAAGAAAAAGGGCGTGTTTTTTGAGGCATCAATCACTTGGTCAACTCACAGATGATGTCTACTACTCTACAACTTTGTGGGCTGTCAAATCAAAATGGTTGTGTAATTACTCTTTACTTTGCTTCCAACAAAATAGTGAGCTCTTATACAAGCTTCCTCAACTTGTTAGTTCTTCATCAATAAACTTCCCTGTTTCTCTATGCATAAAAAGGGATAATTAATTATTGTATCTTCCATCAGTTTTGGACTAGAGAAAGATCTTTTGTGGGTGCCACTTTGTCTTCTCCCCTCTTTTATGGAATGCCTGGCTGGGGAGAAATAGAAATACTTTTTGAGAGCTTGAAAGCTTTAGGGGGAGGTTGCTCTATAGCTAGGTTTCATGGCTCTCTCTATTTGGGTGTTGATTTCTGAGGATTTTTGTGGCTATCATTTTTCCTTTTATCTCAGTGAGTAAAGCTCTTTTTGCAATCTTTATGTTGTTTCTTTCTATAGGCCCCTTTTCCTTTTTCCTTCTTTTTTTTTTCCCTGTATTCTCGGTGTGCACTCTTTCATTTTTCTTGGCAAAAGCTTAGTTTTTAATTGAAGAAAAAAGATGTTGAACTTTGGCAAGTCAGGGAGGTTTAAGTATTAATAGGGATGTATTGGACGTTATTAGGACGTTAGAAGTGTAATTGTAATTACTTGGGAAGCAGGTTACAGTGGATGGTTATACACAAGGGAGTTTGGGGTTGGCAGAAATTTGGAAACTGGTTCATGGTGGTACTTGGGAGAGAGAGCCCTTCATAAAGGTCATTACTTGTGTAGAATGTTATAAAACATAAGGCCATTACTTGTGTAGTTATTCTTCGCTATTGTACTACAATTTCAGTGTTATTTTCTTTGTATGAAGACCCTAACATGAGCTTGATAACACTCTCGGTAAAGAAGTCAGCGACTGATGGTGAAACAAATACTTCGCTTGACAACACTATTGCAGCAGCCACTGCAGCAAAAACTTATTCATGTCTCCTGCAGGATTGCTGCAAACTGGCAGTCTTAACGATCCTTGAGTATATATGGGATGATATTACCATATAATTTGTTGATACGCTTCCTCAAACCTTCAGGGAAGATATTTTTAGTGACAGGATTGTTAAACAAAAAATACATGCCCCACTCTTTATATCGATGTAATATAAACACCAATGTCTTTTAATTTTTTTTTTAAAATTTAATTTTCAAGGACAAAGAGGTTTCGTTGATGAAATGAAAAACTAAGGTTTGTTTGTTAACCATTTTGTTTTTAAAATTTTTGCTTGTTTTTTCATTATTTTTCTGCAATGAATTTCGTCTTTCATGAGAAAGCGAAAACAAGTTTTTGATAGCTACATTTTTAGTTGTTAAAACTAAGCTTGGTTTTTGAAAACCTAGGTAAAAGGTAGATAATAAATCAAGGAAATACATGGGTGGAAGTAGTATTTATAAGCATAATTTTCAAAAACCAAAAAACCGAAAACTAAATGGTTATCAAACATGGCCTAAATGAGTAACAAATTGGATTCGAAGATCTATAAGAAAGCAACTGAAAACAGAAAGCTACTTCCCAACAACTATGCCAAAAGATCAACACAAACCAACCAAATAAAGAACCCCTAAACAATACAACCAAAAATGGTCAACTAAGATCACCAAAGCTTGATATAGTTTACACTCTCAAGCAACTAGACAAAAGAGGAGATTCAAACTTTGAAACCATGCACCATTTTCTCATGAACCAAATACAGATGTTTTCCTTATCAAATAATAAAAGCTCTAGGTGATATCTCTTTTAGCAGTTTTTGACAGTATCGAAGCTTCTCTGATATTTTAGTCATCTTCTTATAAATGTATAGTATCTTCATATTCGTAATTTTCTTTATGAGTTGTGTGTATGATCTGGGGTGTTGTTTATGCTCTGTAATATTTTTCTTCTGTGAGTTATGAATTTCTTTTATCCAGGATGCTTTTATTTATTTATCTCTCTGAATAGGAGCAACTTGATGGTGCTGGTGTCGAGTTACCGAGTCTTTTCAAACAAATTGAAAGTCAGGCTTCTTATGGTTGCTATACTGAAGCTTGGAAAAAGAGGATACACTGGGTAGGGTCTCAAGTAACTGGCGATCTTCTTGTATCTGTATCTGACGCAGAGAAGACCCTTCAAACCCAAAGGCCTGTAAGGAGGTATAACATGCCCTTATGATATTGTGAAGCTTGTAAAAACTTAGATTTTCATTCATATGCATATAAAGTCTGCTTTGGGCGTAGACGACATGGTAAACTTTTGGAGGAGGGCGCAAGTGGATATCTGCAGAAGAAATTCTCCACTCTCGAGATGGAGGGAAATGGATCAGAAAATTTGGAAGTTGATTGGTGCTCTCTTAATAAAGTTTTTTCAGAAGGCTCAAATAACAATGAAACATTATTCGGCAGCAAGAATTGGGCTTCTATTTACTTGGCCAGCACTCCGCAGCAGGCTGCAGAAATGGGACTAAAATTTCCTGGAGTTGATGAGGTACGGTGTGTTTTTTTTTTATCATTATTTTTGTTCCTGGAGTTGATGACTGTTTGAAAGGAAAGATTTAGTGGGGTAGAGTCCTCGATGACTATCCAATAAAAGATAATGATAAAAACTAGTCATCATTATTTTGTTCCTGGAGTTGATGACTGTTTGAAAGGAAATGCATGACCGGCTGATTAAACTATGTAAGAAGATTTGCTGTATGCTCTTTAAAATATGTTGGAGGACAATTTTTAACTCTTGTTATTATTGACGTGTGTAACCTATTGCCTCTATATCTGTTTATTCTTCATTGTGAACAACCTAAGAATAGATTTCATATCGTTTTATCAGGTAGAGGAAATTGATGATGTTGATGGAAATTCTAGTGATCCGTTTGTTGCTGCTGCCATTGCAAATGAAAAAGAGTTGGATCTTTCTGAAGAACAAAAGAGAAATTTCAGAAAGGTAAATAACTAATGTTAAAGAAACGTTCCAATTTATACTATTAAAAATCCTTGTATTCATGAGAATTTCAAAAAAGAAAAGTGCAATAATATTATTTAAAATCATTGCATTCATTAAAACACGAAGTTGCACTCAACCAACCACGCGAGGGCCAAGACAAGACAATGTCGTGATGTGACCAAGGATGACAGTGCATCATCCAACATACCATATAAGGTGTAACAAAGCCACAAATCCAGGCGAAAATGTGGAAGAGGCTTTAGTTCCTCGTAAGGTTTATTGTGAGCGTGTCGAGATCACAACGCTGCACGGTTGAAAATGTTTGACCATGAGATACCATGTTAGGAACAACAACCCTCCACAATGGTATGATCTTGTCCAGTTTGAGCATTAGCTCTCATGGTTTTGCTTTTGGTTTCCCAAAAATGCCTCGTACCATTGGAGATAATATTCATTTTTTATAATCCCTTGATCTTCCCCTTAATTAGCCAATGTGGGACTACTCTTCTCAATAATCCTCAACAGTCCTCTCCTTGAACAAAGTACACCATAGAACATTCCCTGAGGCCTCTATAGCCCTCGAGCAGTCTCCTCTTAATCGAAGCTCGACTCCTTCACTAGAGCCCTTGAATAAAGTACACACTTTGTTCGACACTTGAGTCACTTTTAACTACACCTTCTTGGCTCACAACTTCTTTGTTCGAAACTTGAGGATTCTATTGATATGACTAAGTTAAGAGTATGACTCTCGTATTATGTTGCAATGTTGCAAGTCTAAATTAGCTTGCTATTTTTCTTATATATTTTTAGAGAATTATATGTACATTTTATGAGGATTGTCATTTCGCTGGCATTAGGTGGTTGACATTTGATTCATGTGTGATGGGATTTTTGTAAATAGAAGAGTTTTCTTGTTGCGAAATGTTAAGTGATTTTCTTAAATGGCTTATTGTTGTTCGGGAAGTTTCCAAGTTCCCACTTTAGTAGCACAACCTCTGGAGTCGAAAATTGTTTCAAGTTATGTTGATAAAGTAAAAATGCTTCCAAAGGAGAATCCAAAATCTCAGGAAAATCCACTGTATCAGATAATTTGGAGAACTTTTCATCACTTGATAAAGACAGTGGATTGCAATTTCTTTGCCTTTAATTACAGTATCTGTGCCGATAACTCAACAGTAGCTGGTGGGGTTTTGAAAGCTCAAGTTGAGTTTATTGTGATTCTTCTTATTCCATTTCCAAAGGCCACTACGAAGTACTTATCCCATTTCCAAGGGCAACTGGGAACTTGAAAGCTCAAGTTGAGTTGATTGTGATTCTTCTTGTTCTATTGTGAATCATGTGGTTATCATGTTCACCCTTTTTCCCATTTGAAGCTTTTTTCTTCCAAGTTGATCTGTTTGGGTGCGAATAATGAGCGTTGGATGATGTATTTATTAAATACCCAATTTATAGGTTCCATTGAGCAAATGTGTTAACTTGATGATCAATACTTCTGGTTTCATTGACCACGCATATTCTTTATACCTTTTCTGAGTGCAATTTACCTGTCTTAATTTTTAAAGGTATTTTAAACTTGAGAAGATGATTAGTTTGCATTGATAGGTCAAAGAAGAAGATGATGCCATTTTTGATAGAAAACTCCAAATGCATTTGAAACAAAAGCGATATCAGAAGAGATGTAAACAGGTATAATTTATTTGTCTTCTCCTGGTTTTGTTTTCTTGTGTATTTCAGTCTACCTTTGATATTTAGTACTTCTGATTTATATTTGTGTTAAAATCTCTGTCTATCTATCTATCTATCTATCTAAAGCAAACTTATTACAGTGCGTCCATATTCAAAAAGAGTTCAAACGAAGGTTCCAGTTTTATGAAAAATGACATAGGGTAGACTTCAACTCTCGGGTAGGCAGATTTATTTATGAGAATAGAGGTTCAAAGTTCTTAATTCTCAAAGGAACATGGACACCTTTGGGAATTCTTGGATTACTGAGATTGAATGAATACCTGTGAAGTCTGTAGTTTTGAATTCTGCGATCTGCAGAAAGACATAACATTCATATTTCTGAATTTTTTGGTTGGCAGACTCTTGGGATATCAAACTTTAGCCTTAGTAGCCCGTGGTTTAACATTTCAAGTTCTTGGTGATATTGTGGGATCAAATGTGGGGGAATTTCATACTACTAGTAGAGACAAATAGGAAGGAGATGGATTGGGAGAGGATGGTAGGAGGCACAAGTGTATAGATAAAAATATCATCCTCCTCTCCCTAATTCATATGAAGCAAGGAGGAATCGAAGGGTTTGTCTTCAAAGAAGGAAACACTGTGAAATACAAGATACCTCTTCGAACTTCACACAAAAGCATTTATATCCTTATGAAAACGAGAATGAGCATAAAAAATGCACTTCAAAGATTGAGGTCAAATTTTGTTAGATTAGGACTAACACCTCAAAAAAACAGGTCCCACAAATTATTTTCAGCTCAATGGGAAACCAAGATTTTGTTGGAAATAAAGCATGCCAAGGAACTAGACTAAGCACAAATGAGGGCATGTGATTAATCAAGATGAAAGCCGTAGAAATTGCATCAACCAAAAAGTGGTATGGAACACGCATTTGAAAGGATACTGCTTTTGCAGTTTGAAGAAGACGCCCATTCTGCGCCCAACAACTTCATTTTGAGATGGAGTACCGACAAAAGATGACTGATGAATAATTCCATGCTTACATAGGTACAACCCAAGTGCTTCAGAAAAGTATGGACTAACATGCTTCTCAAAGTTTTGAGGAAAACATAAGCATGAAAGTTTCCAAAGGGGAACGTAACTCAAACTTTTCGTCATAAAATATAACCAACTCATATGAGAGTAATCACCAATAAAGAATGAAATCTTGAAATCCAGTTTTGGACAAAACTAGACAAAGACCCCAAATATCGGGACGAAATAATTCAGGAGGCACACTTGCTCTCTTATTGATTCTATGGCTCATATAAGATGATGAAATTTGAAAAATTGACATGTGTCACTAATTAAACAAGACAAGTTATGAAATTGAGAACAAAACTTGTTGACCATGGAAAGAGATGGATGACCTAGACGACAATGGGCATCAAAAAGAGAAATGACTCTAGAGAATGCAACTTTTGACATTTGATGACCAAGAATGTAATGTTCTCCAGATTCATGTTCTTTACCAATAATCTCCTTCGTCACAAGATCCTAAAACAATCAATAGCCAAGATAGAAGGAATCACAATAATTAAGATCGTTAGAGCGTAAACTAATAGATATCAAATTATAGGAATGTGGGGGTAAAAGTAGAACCAAGGACAAAGAAAGAGACAGAGTTAGATCTACTATGCCAGTTCCAAGAACAAATGATTTTGGTCCATCTACAAGGTAACATTAGCTAGCAAGGATGAAGATGATGAAAGAGTGAAACAAATTGGGATTACTAGTCATATGATTAGTTGTTGATGTAAATAGTCTTCTGAATAATTTATCAGTTGCTAATGTTGGATGTTTTGAGACTCTCGTAAATGGTGTTTAGAGGCTTGAGATTTATTCTCTTTGAAATCTCTTTCTAGTTAATTGAATACTTCATTTCTTTGACTAAGTTTTGGTTCTCTGCCTTGTGGAAGTTAAAAAAGTCCAAAAAGAAATAACATTCGTTCTTGGATATTGCTAAATAGCAGTCTAAATACAGTTGATGTTCTTCAAAGAAGTTTCCTTCTTGTCTAAATCCTTCCATCTGTTGCCTTTGTCATGAAGCAGGAGAATTTCTTATCCACCTATTTTTTGGATGCCTTTTTCACAGACTTGTTGGTTCAAATTATTCAGCATCTTCATCTTGCATTGGATTTTCTATTCTAATGCCAAATGTAATTTTCTTCTGATCTTATTGGGCCTTTGCATTTGCGTTCACTTTTTCTGTGGGTTGATGTGGTAAAAGAAGTTATTGTTGGAAAGAAATAAGTAGATCTTTGAAGATAAATATTGTTCTTTGTTAGGTCAAAGCTCCTCTTTGGTGTCCTCACTCCAACTCTTTTGATGATTTTTCTTTACAGGATATGTAACTCTGTTTATCTTATTTTATTTCACTTCCTATGAAGTTTGTATCTTTTGAGTATTAGTGTCGTTTCATCTTTTTATTGAAAAGTTTAGTTTCTAGTTTAGAAAAAGATAGATATGGATCAATGGCTTTAGGGAAAATGATTGAGGATGTTACTAAAACTGGCGCTAATAATTTAGGGCTTAGAAAAGTTGAATAAAGTCGTCATTATACTGTGGGATCGAACTGTAGTTTCACCAGTGCTTTTGAATCTCCAATGTGAATGATGAGGGCTACACGTGGTGCTAGGATTAAATTGGTTCTTCAGAGGCTACATACCTTAGTTTCTGGTGTTTTTCAAGTGGGCCGGATATTTCCTGCATTCTTTACTCATTTTTTGTTTGATTTAGGAGGTCTTTCAAAAAGATGTTTCCACTGTTGATAAAGTGATACAAAGAGATGAAGAGCAGCTTGTATCTCCGGTTGACTGTTTGAACCCTGTTTTAGATGAGAAAACTGAAGGAAATCGAAAGGGCCTCTCGGATGATGAAAATGCAGATGGTGCTTCAAGTGATATTGACATGGAAGGGTCTTTGGAGAAAACTGCTTCTTTGCATCCTTCAGCGTTATCTGATTTTGTGGAACCTTTAGGTTCAAAGCGTTTAAACGATACTGAAGAACTGATTATTCAAACTAAAAAGAGTCGTACCAATGGTGTACATGAGGATGAAAGTCCCCTGATAAAGGAGGATTCTGCTTTCAATCCAACAACGTTGGACACCCTATGCAACACCAAACAAAATGACCATGGTGCTGATTCTCTTCCATCAGAGTGCCTGAATGAGAAGATTCGTTGTACTGCGTGTGATCAAATGGTTATTAAAGCGCATGCACACCCTTTTCTGAACGTAATTGTTTGTGAGGATTGCAAATGTTTGATGGATGACAAGAAGAATGTAAAGGTACGGAAAAATCTCACTTGTTGATCTTATTGAAATTTGTATTTTGCTTCTACAAAGAGAAAAAACAGTATATCTGATTCTATTCAGTGTTATTGGTTAAAGTAATCACTTTACTGGTAAAAGTAGTCACTACTGATTTGTTCTGCTGAAAAAAAAATCATCATACCATATTTGGCATGGATGTTTTTGTTATCTCACATGAAACGGAAGTAAAATCATTATAGTCTCTTAGTCTTTTTCATCTTATTATCCGTACTTAATTAGGGTTTTCTTAAAGTTCTTGGATTTCATGTTGGAACAATTCAGGAACCTGATTGCTCGGAGTGCTATTGTGGATGGTGTGGGCGAAATGCTGACTTAGTAAGTTGTAAATCATGCAAGACACTATTTTGTATCAGTTGCATAAGGAGGAACCTCGGTGTCGAGTGCTTGCTCAAGGCCCAATCTTCTGGCTGGCATTGTTGTTGTTGTCGCCCAAGTCTCTTGCAATCCTTGACCATGCAGTTGGAGGAGGTCTTAGGATCTGAAGACTTGACCGGTTCTAGCTCTGACAGCGATTCAGACAACCCACATGCAGATATTAATGGAACCATAAGGTAATTTTCCAGCCATTAGTAATTTCTGCGCTTTTTTTTTTTTTAATCGGAAACAGATACTTGTAATTCCTTAAAAAGATTTAGAAAAAAGGAGATAGAACTATTTCCGAACAGCTAATGGGCCTACAAAATAGGCTCTTCCAATTTTTTCCTGACAAAACTATCAATGAAGTAATGAAAAGTTACAAACATAGTTTAAAATATCCTTGGAGGAGAATAAACCATCACTAGCCGTACAGAACTCCAAAATATATTTAATAAATACCCTAAACTTCAACTAGAATAAAAGTAAAACACAACGTAATTATCCATTTTGAAAAGGGGGGAAAAAGAAAACTAATAGCCAATGTAAAAACCACCTAGGAGCTATATCAATGAAACACCTAAAGTGACCGACCTGTAGCGGGAGTCTTTTCTTCACAACTCTAGATTTTTTATTAACTAAGCCAGACTTTTTTTGAGACGCTTGCAATGTCAAAACTTTTAACATGAAAAGCCACCTGAGAGGAAGATAATTAAGAAAACCTATCACTCCTTGCTCCTAGGAGTTTGTATGATCTGGCTAAATAAAAATTTCCAGATAATAACATTTTGAAGCAAATTATCAACCTTTTCCTTCTGTTGCTCTTATTTTTTTTTCTTGAGCTTCAGTTACCTAGTACAATGGTTAGGTTTTTGTTACAGTTATTTTTATTATAATAATCTGAATGAACTTTTGTTTTTCTGTTGTAATTTGATCACTTTTCCGATTTGCCAATCAGCTCAAAGAGAAGGCGTAAGAAAAAGATCCGGCGGATACTTGATGATGCTGAATTAGGAGAAGATACTAAAAAGAAAATTGCCATAGAAAAGGTAAATTTTATGTGCAGTTTTGTATGATTTTACCTTGTAACTTGTTCAGAATAACTCACCATGTTTTACTTTTTCTTTTCATTTTATTTCATTTTTCTCTCCAAAGGAACGCCAAGAACGTCTAAAATCACTAAAAGTTCAGTTTTCCTCTGATTCTAAAAGAATGAGCTCTGCTGGCTTTTGTGGTAATCTACCTGAAGGTGCTAGTGCTGAAGTCCTTGGTGATGCTTCAACGGGATATATAGTCAATGTAGTAAGGGAGAAGGGGGAGGAAGCGATTAGAATTCCACCCAGCATTTCATCGAAGTTGAAAACCCATCAGGTTTGAGCATAGCTACACATGCACGTCAATCTTTTTTCAAATTTCTTGGACTTGGTTTCTGTGTTTTTTTTTCTTGGGGGGTAGGGAGTAAAATGATATATTTCTAATAAGTAACAAACTTAATTATTACCATTGTTATACCTGTCTAATGAACAAGAAAAGTAATACATTTAAATAAGCTTACAAAGAAAGAGAGAACGATTGTAATACCAATTTTCCTTAAGAGGGCTCCTCAAGAGGCATATTCTCCCGTAGTATGAGGAACAATCTCTTTATTAGAGAATCCAACCTGCAGGATATGTCTATCCTCCACACTTCTTTTACGTGGTTAAGTATTAGAAAAACCACACTCTTCAAAGTTGACAGATACCTTTGAATGAAGAATCGGATTAGCTTGATGAGACGTCCAGTCTCCAAATGTCTCACAAGATCTACAGCTGACAATATTTCCTAGAGAAGTCTATGAAAATGTACACTCAGAAAGAATCACATTCCAGTAATCTTTTTTTTTTGCTTTTGTTATCGGTATGACAATATATTATTTTTTTTAGTTGATGTAATTTTATTTCAATAGCTATTATTTGTGAATATCAAAAAGGTTCTTCAAACAAATTATATTATTATCAAATAAAATAAATTAAAAATTTATATTAACATCTCTATTAAAGAACATTCAATGAATAATATTTTTATTGCCCTTGATTCATTTCTAATTGATTTTCATTTTGATTATTGGTAAGTAAGTGGGGCCTAAGTTTGTCCTCTCCCCTCATTTTGTCCTTCTGTGAACTTTTCTTATTTTCGCATATGGTTTTTGGAAGGAAAAAAAAAAAATTCCTTGTCCTTACTACAAGAATCTTGTGGAAGTGAGGATTATTGTCATCTTCTTTCAACCATTTTATTTCTGACTCAAATAGAAGCTTCTCCATTCTTCCTCGTAGACTATGCTATATAATTTCTATTTGGGCTCATTTCTCCTCTCCTTCTCTGTCTTCCAAGCATCCAGTTCCATCTTGACCCATTTCTGTTAAACTTTTTCAGATTACTTAGCTCCTAGTATAGTTTGAAACCTGGATGACTATCAGAGTCATAATCTTTTACTTACTAATATAACTGAGGCTGATAAATGCTTGGTTTTTTATATAATGAGCTTTAGGAGTTGTGTTCTGTTTTCATTTAAACTTTTTGACAAGCCTACTACAATGGTCCTGGATGACTGAGTTTTAATTACTATACTGAAAGGTGGAAGCCTTCTCTGGTCTATTTTTATTTTATTTATTCATATTGTTTTCTGCTGCAGGTTTCTGGAATAAGATTTATGTGGGAAAATATCATTCAATCAGTAAGGAAAGTGAAGTCTGGTGATAAAGGTCTTGGATGCATTCTTGCTCACACAATGGGCCTTGGTAAAACTTTTCAGGTATTTGGTTCATCCATCTCTAACGTGCCCTTGTTTACATATTGGAGAAGTGGTATTTTGATTCCTTTTTCCCCTTTTAAAAAATGATAAATAATATTTGGTTAAAAAAATGATTCAGAAGAATTAGAATAGGCATCCTCGAGATCCATTAGGACCGATTGATAACTATTTAGTTTTTAGCTTTGAAAATTAAGTCTATATTACTGATTCCACCTATTGGTTTTCTTGTTTGTTATCTACGTGTTACTTATGTTTTTTTTAAAAAAGAAAAAATTTGGAAATTGAAAAAAATAGTTTTCAAGATTTAAAAAAAAAAAAGAAAAAGAAAATTGGACAATAATTTAAATATCTTCGAAGAGGAAACTCATTGTAGAGAAATAATATGAATACAAGAATAATTTTGAACCAAACGCTTGTCAAACGGTGCATCACTTCATCTACTTACAGTACTTGGAATACAATAAAAGATGTCTCTTGCTTCGAATAATACTAATTTCATTGTCAAAAACTTGCTAGCATATCTAAATCACATGAACTTGAAAACTGCAATTAGAGTTCAAATATGTATGTAGTGTTTTCATAACTATAAGCCACATGGTTAACTTCTATTTCTCTTGCAAAAAGATGAAGTCTGTTTTCTTTTATAAATATCCCTTATGAAAAGTTGTAAAAATGACTCGATGCTAGGTATGCAATATGGTTAACTTTTATGCTGACCAATTGTGGATTTCATTACTCTGCAAGTAAGAAGAAATGTGCAAAGACATTATTATTGCGGTCCTGAAAATGATTTTTTTATGAAAGTGAAGTTAAATAATTAAATTAGAATAAAAACTAATAGGTAATTAATAATAAAATAATATAAAAAAAGAATTAAGAGATCATGACTGCTACACTCCCTCGATCAATGTAAGAAGGGTAATTATTTAGAAACCTTCTAACTAACGGTGCATAAGTTCTATCCTTTTGCCTACTTTTATAACTACAATTTTGAGTTTTAAATTGATTATAACTTGTTTCTCATGGTTTGTGAGTACTTTCTTTTGCTGAATTGAACTATGGTCTTAGGTTATAGCATTCTTGTACACTGCAATGAGGAATGTGGACTTGGGTTTACGAACTGCAGTTATAGTCACCCCTGTTAATGTGTTGCATAATTGGCGGCAAGAATTCTTTAGGTGGAAACCTTCAGAATTAAAGCCTCTTCGTGTTTTCATGCTTGAAGATGTGCCAAGGTAAATATCATTTGGTTGCTTTATTCATATCTGTTTATCGCAATGATTGAGTTGTGTTCTCTGTGTCTCCAGTAAATTTTGTAAATCATGTAGTCAATATTAAGTCATTTGAGGTGCAAGTGATGTAAACCAGTGCTATTGTAGATGCTCTCAGGAAGAAACACCGTCCGTGTACAAATCATCTAACGATCTCTCAAATAAGGAAAATTGTTTCTTCTTGGGACGGTGTTTCCTCTTTTTGATGATTTGTACAATCATTGTTGAGACCTGCCAAAAAATCACAAACACAATCTGCTTCAATAAATTTCTTCAAAATTACGGCATCTGCAGTACACTTCATCTCGAATACTCGATAATAATTAAGTTCTTGCCACAATGTTTGAAGGGCATTGGCATATTCAGTAATAATTCTTCCTTCTTCCTTTGTGGCTTCGGTCATGATCGTGATCTCAAAGATTTGAGTTGCATCTCGAGCCTTGGAGTAAGTGCAATGAATAAAGTGACTTATGCCTTGAACATTCTGTAAAAACATGCATGTATCACTAATGGATGGCTCCATAGAATCCCAGAGCCATGACATGATCATGGAATCCTCCTCACCTCATGCAACAAATCCTAGGTCTGTCTCCGCTGGTCTTGATCCAACGAGATGTCAAAGTTTTTCCTTTTCCTTAAGGTATGCCCATACAATTTGCATTTTCTCAGGCACGCCAAGGCATGACTTCAACGTCAAGGCACAACTTCAACCATATGATTTCAATGGTAGTTATAAAGGATCCAAATAAATTTGGTCAAAGTGGAAATCAATAGCTTCGGCTCCAAATAAACTTGGTCAAGGAGGAAGATTGGTAGATATGAAGGCTTTATCGATTAATCAGACCTTCTAGAATAGGATGTCTCTAATACCATGTTGCGAGTGTAAATTATCTTGCTCTCTTATTAGCTTCAGAGACGTACTAAATCCCTAGATACTAAGTAACAATACAGAAAAATATGGAGGTTAACTAATTCTCTTATTCACAAATGTTTGTTAAACTAAGTCTAGGAATTACACAAGATGTGCGAATAATCAATAGTCCCATGACAATAATCAAGATGTGTGAAACTGGCTCAAACACTCACGAATATGAAAACAAGCACACATATATATTTATTTATATTTATATTACCATATTGATGTTAAAAAGAAAGAAAATTGAAATCTATAATTTACAATTCATTAGGCTTGTAGTTATGAGTTGATTTCTTTTTTATTGTTGACGACTTTTCTTTCTTACCAGGGAGAGGAGGGCAGAGTTGCTTGCTAAGTGGAGAGCTAAGGGTGGTGTCTTTTTAATTGGTTATAGTGCTTTCCGCAATTTATCTCTTGGTAAACATGTCAAAGACCGGCACATGGCCAAAGAAATTTGCCATGCCTTGCAGGTGACCATCTTTATATTATTCACTCTTTTACCTTTCATCCTGCTTCTCATATTTTTTATTTTTCTTTTGAAAAACTAAATTGTGATGTTTATACCTGCCAGAAACTGTTCCCTGTACCTCATTTTTAACTTAATTTTACATTTTGATTTTATTTTTATTTTTTGGTTATATTATTGAATGCCTTATCTAGTTGGTAGAAACCATATAATTTCTGAAAGTCTCGAGAAAAAAATTAAATTTTTAATTGAATTGTAGATTTGTTGCTTTGTTTATTGAATCCGTTCGCTATTCTAATGAAAGGTTAATTTCTTTATTAAAGCAATGTTGATATTTTTCATCGTCTGCATGCTTTAAACTTGCCATTGGAAAATGTTCTTACTAGAACTTCGCACTTGTTACGAACTTAAACATCATAAAGTGTCTATTATGGGTCCACTCAAAAACAGAAAAGCAGTAGATGCCTGAAAAGGAACATGTTTCTTGGCTAGGAACCTTCTGCATGGACTCTAAAAGACTCCTCAGTTTTTCAATATCACTTGTGTTCAACTCCCCTTTCCTGATGTTTCTTCTTTCACTTCACCATTCCGAGTTGATAAAATATGAGCTTGTCCATGTGACCAATCATCCGTAATTAACCCTCCATAAAGTTTCACAGACTCCAATAGCTTACAACAGCATAATAGCCTTAGGAAAATACCTAGTTCTTTTATACTGTGTAAACCTAAAGGTTTGGAAAAATAAGTAATCATCATTCTATTCACTGAAGATATGTATAGACATGAGTACAAGGTTAATCTAAATTAAACAATGTAAAGTGACAATAAAGAACAATATGTCTACGATATTTACATGTAATATACTAATATAGGTACCATAACACTTCTCATGTACTAATTTCATGATAACACTGCTCATGCTCATGAGATATAAGAAGTTTTTACTCCTCCAAGATAGAGTTCGTCTGACTAGGGGTCTAATGTTGACTGTTGTATGTATATGATTTTTGCTACCCTTCAATTGCCAGGATGGACCTGATATTCTTGTATGTGACGAGGCCCACATGATTAAGAATACCAAGGCTGATGTAACCCAGGCATTGAAACAAGTGAAATGCCAGAGGAGGATTGCATTAACTGGATCACCACTACAGAACAATCTCATGGAGTATTATTGTGTAAGTCTTTGAAACAGTTACAGCAGCTGATATCCTTATACATGATGTTATATTCTTTGACATGATAATTGGCACAGATGGTTGATTTTGTGAGAGAAGGTTTCCTGGGAAGTAGCCATGAATTTAGGAATCGGTAAGACTTCACCGTCAGTCTTCATTTCTTCTTCCTTTTTGTCTTTCCACATTACTCTTCACATATTCTTATCATGCAGCTTCCAGAACCCTATAGAGAATGGGCAGCATACCAATTCAACTCTGGAAGATGTTAAAATAATGAACCAGAGGTCTCATATCCTATATGAACAGTTGAAAGGGTTTGTACAAAGGATGGACATGTCTGTGGTGAAGAAGGACTTGCCGCCTAAAACTGTCTTTGTGATATCCGTTAAACTTTCTCCCTTACAGAGGAAGTTGTACAAAAGATTTCTTGACGTGCATGGTTTTAATAATGGCAAAGATTCTAGTGAACTGTTGAGGAAGAGGAGCTTTTTTGCTGGATACCAAGCACTTGCTCAGGTATACTCATGACATCTTATCTTATTTTCAAGCTCCTATCCTGTGTTCTATATACGTATATTTTATGGCATGGGTGCAGCTGCACTACATCAATAGAAGTGTAGTCATTTGTACGCATTAATTAGGTTCAATTGATTGTTGCCCTTAAAGGTTGACTCGCACTTTTATGGGTAAATTGAAGGGGAGTCCTCGGGAGTGAGATTTTCACAAAGTTCATGTCTAACATAATAAAATAAAAAATAAATAAAAATTCTTAATTATTTTTGTCTATATTTTCTAGTTTTCTTCAGATGTTTTGTGCCCTTCATGATAGTTGGCAGTGTCTTTTGTAAGTGTTTTGCCAGAAGGGTAGTGTTTTTTATCCTTTGTGTGTTCATTAAATTCTTTTTTCTTCTAGAAAACGTGTCAATTAGACCTGTGATGGGTCTTTGCAGTTTCACAATTTTGAAGTTGCTATAAATTTGTGAAATTTGATCCCCATGGGCAGCCTAGTTGGTCTAGGGCTATAGGTTTTAATTTACTACTAAGGTCTCTAGTTTGGTTCTTTCAATGATAATAAATTAATTTCTTAACTACAAGTGTCCGTTTCTTTTGGGTCCTACTCCTAGAGACCACAGGGGTCTGATTATCTGGATATCAACAATTACGTATAAAATTGTAAAATTCAAATTCTGTTCTTAGTTTCGGTAATGGAAATATTTAATTGGTATTAGTTTGTGCTTAAATTATGGCTTTTTAAAATATGTAAGTACGATTAAAAACAGTTTTTCTCCATCTTAAGTTGCCGAGACATATTCTACTGTTCCTTTTTTTCATGTCCATGAAACAAGTATGTTTTCAAAATGTATTACCAAACTTGCCCTTGAATCTTTTTTTATCAATCATTCCGACCAATATAATTATTTATTAGAACATGTCTTTGCCTTTGTCACTGCCCACATATATTTTCATGTTTTCTGTCATTATAGATTTGGAATCATCCTGGAATCCTCCAATTGACAAAAGAAGACAAATATTCCGTGAAGCGTGAAGATGCTGTTGAAAATTTTCTTGCAGATGAAAGCTCCAGTGACGAAAACATAGATTCTAATATCGGCATTGGAGGTATACCTGTTAGGTTTTCGATTTTTCTGTATTAATTATCTTGTGGTTATTGTAAAATATCAACCGTCAGTTTTGGATATTAGGGAAATTTAGCTGTCAATATTGCTTGTAATTTCTTTTGTTAAAGTGATATTTATTCTCCTTTTAAAGTACCATGTAATCATTCTCTATTCAATAAAATAATATTATAATAATTTTGGTTTTAAAGTGATGTTTATCTTAATTTTGGAATCCTGTAACCATCAGTGGTCCCACCTTTTCTTGGGCATAGTTTCTCCAGCGATTTTGGGTTTGTTTGTTTGAGGTCTGATTATTTCTTCCACAATTTTCAGCATTTTGACCATAGGGGCTTTTGTTCCGCTTGTTGATTCAGGTCTATTTATTTGCGGTCATTGTTGATTTGTTAGGTTTAACTCGATACTGTATTTGTCCCTTGTATACTCCATGCTGCTTGTTATCATGATTGTGGCAAGATTTTAATTAAATCTCGATGAAGTTCAAAGAAAACCAAGTCATAATCCAAACTTAATCATATTACTTGACTTAACAAAGGTAACTTCCTTTAATGGTTTTAAAGTATTTGGTCCAGTTGTATATTCATGGCAACAGAGAGGACCGTTTGTAAGTTGCACGAGATGCTAAAACCTCTATGGATGAAGATACCAGTGCTAGCTTTATGCGCTATTCGACAACAAAGGAATTGATGTGGAATAGCAAGACTTTGTAATTCCGTTCTATCTTTTGTTCTTCTATGTTACATGTCCCTATTCCTTATGCCTTTGAAAGTCAGCATTGATTTGGAGCATTTGTTGAGAAACTTCTTTTATGAAGGCAACGAGGGTGGAGAAATAAATCATTTGGTTAGATAAGAGTTTAGCCTTAAATCTCAAGGCAATGGAGGGTTAGGTATTGGCGCCTTGAAGCATAGAAGCATGGCTGTCATTGCCTAATGGAGTTGGAGATTTATGCATGCGTCCATTTTGGTTAAAGGTAATTGTTGGCATGCAGGGTTTTTGATTGGCATTCAGCTGGAAGACTTTATTTGAGCCCTAGAAGCCCTCGGACTAGCGTCTCTAAAGTCCTTTGCTCAATTCAAACTGGGAAATGGCAATAGGATCTTTTTCTTTTTTGGCATGAACCGGGCTTGAAAGTTTTCTTTTGAAGGTTTGCTATCCTCATTGTTTGGTGTCTCTTCTTCTCCTATTGGTTTGGCCTCAGATTTTTGGGTTGCCTCTCTTCTCTTATGGAATATTATTTTTTAAAGATTATTAAAGGGTTATGAAATTATTGATTTGCCTATTCTATTGGATAGCCTTTCTAGTGTAAAGGTTGGCTAAATGAAGATACAAGAAGTTGGTCTCTAGATTCTTCAGGCCTTTTCACAATGAAATCTCTTTCTAGGTATTTGGCGACCTTTTCCTCTTTGAAAAAGGAGATTTCTGTCGCACTATGGAGGTCCAATTGCTCTATGAGAATTAGTATTCTCTTGTGGGTTATGCTAAAGGGTAACAACTGCAAGTAGAGGCATGTTCCTTTTATAATACAGAAGGCTAAAAATATTCTTAGATACTGGGTAAAATTAAATCTAGTGAAATCCCTAGATGCTAGATGACATTACATATAAATAAATCCTTAGATACTAGGTAACAATTTAGAAAATTAAGGAGGTCAACTATTTTCCTTATTTAAAAAAGATTACACAAATATTCCTTAAATTAAAGTCATTCCTTCAAGAGTAACCTCAATACTTTAGATGTTCTACAAAGAAAGCTTCCATCCAACTATCACATGCCTTTAGTCTGTTCTCTTTGCTGTTCGGATGGGGATGCACTCAATCAAGTGTTTTTTGGTTGCTCATATTCTTTTCCTTGTTGGTCCAAGTTATTTTCTTTTTTTTTACAAACTGGTGGGTTTTCACCAACATCTTCAAGGAAAATGTTCTCCAGCTGCTCATTGGTCCTTTAGCTCCTATGGCAAACTATTTATGGGCTAGCGCAGTTAAAGCTCTCTCATAAGACTTTTAGTTGGAATGGAACCGAAGATCTTCCAAAGCAAGTCTCTCTTATGAATTGATTGCTTTGAATCTTCTCGTTTGAAGGCCTATTCCTTGTTTTCTTTTCAAATCATTTTGACGGGTTTTATAGGATAGATATCTAATATTGGAATGCTTTTATTTTTCTCCCTTGTAATTTTTTTTTTCTTTCTTTTTTTGCATTTGTTTCACCCCTTGTAGCGTTTTTATCCTTTAAGTATTAGTCACTTTTTATTTCTTCAATGAAAAGCTGAAACTTAAGAAACACAATAGAACATTTACTCTTTCGATTGGCTATTTTGAGTAGAATTGGTCCATCATTGTAGCAGGTATAAATCATTTAAATAAATAAATGCCCTCTTTGAAACTTAGTGATATTAACCTTTTTTTCCCATTTTTCTTTCACATTCTATCTCTCTTGTGAACATTTTTGTTTTTTTAACCCTCATTTCATTAATCTTTGCCGTGTTTTAAGTGTTAAATAATTGTTTGGATATTTCTTTGCTTAACAGAGAAGCCAGCCAATGCCAATGGGAATCATCAGGATAAATATGCTGGTGGCTTTTTCGTTAAGGTATGAGTTATTATTTACTATCATGCTATTCATATTTGCAACTTGTCAATATGATGAATTACAACATTGGTGTCTTGATGTGTAGATTAGTCTGACTAAAACATTATAGTCTTGCATAAGCATTTTAAGTACTTATCATCAGCAATGCCCTTTTATTTCTTGTAGGATTGGTGGAGTGGTCTGCTTCACGCAAGTAGTTACAAGGAGCTGGATTACAGTGGAAAAATGGTTTTGCTAGTAGAGATCTTAACTATGTGCTCTGAATTGGGGGATAAGGCGTTAGTATTCAGCCAGAGCATTCCTACGCTTGACCTAATTGAATTCTATCTTTCAAGATTGCCCAGACGAGGGAAGAGAGGAAAATTCTGGAAGAAGGGTAAAGATTGGTATAGGTATGCAATACTGGGAAGTATTATGATTGACTCACTTTCTGCTGTAACATTGTAGGAATTTCTTGTTTTATCTACCCCACAGTAACGGCCTAGGCCCACCGCCTAAAGATATTGTACTCTTTGGACTTTCCCTCAAGGTTTTTAAAACGCGTTTGTGAGGGAAAGGTTTCCACACCCTTATAAAGGGTTCGTTCTTCTCCCCAACCGATGTGGGATCTCATAATCTACCCCCCTTCAAGGCCCAGCGTCCTCGCTGGCACTCGTTCCCTTCTCCAATCGATGTGGGACCCCCACCACCAGCAGATATTGTCCTCTTTGGACTTTCCACACCCGGTATCTGGCTCTGATACCATTTGTACGGCCTAGGCCCACCGCTAGCAGATATTGTCCTCTTTGGACTTTCCCTTTCGGGCTCTCTCAAGGTTTTTAAAACGTGTCTGCTAGGGAAAGGTTTCCACATCCTTATAAAGGGTGTTTCGTTCTCCTCCACAACCAATGTGGGATCTCACACCCACACAAAGAGAAAAGAAAAAAGTGATCTTTGCTGGCCTGATATCCCTCACCGGTTTAGAGTTTCAATTTGGGGCTGACAACCATGTGATAGACCCCAGATTTAATTCTATAGCAGAGGAAACGAAAGAAACAGTAAATAAAATTAGTGATTATGTGATTCAGGTCATTAGAATGTTTAGGAGATACCCAGGTGATGGTTGTTTCATGATGAGAGTGGGGCCCCTGTGTTAGTTGGGCTCGTCTGTTTGTACATGCTACTTCAGCTTAAGGGTTAGGAGAGAGGGATAGATAAAAATCTAAGTAGGAATTTTTATAATGGAGAGCTGGGTGATCTTTCAAATTGCCCACACATTGCATCTCTGAATTGAAAATTATACCATAGACCAGTCCCGTTGCTTGCAGCGCATCTTTCTCTCTCTGTTTGAGAGTTTTATAAAGATTGATTTCCTTCTCTAACTTAAATAGTTGAAGGAATTGACTGTTTCCATGCATTGATATCTAAACAAAGCCAAATTAGGATATCAACATCCAATGTAGACAGTTTTGAATGGCTATTACATGTTTGATTTTAACAACTACTTGGCTCCTGCTGATTGCAACAACCTATTATGTTTTTCTTTTTCATCTCTGCAACTGCTTTGCTCCAATGGAAGGAAACGGGGTTTTCGGGTTGAGGGAGAGGTTAATCAATAGAGTGGATCCATGAAAATTATGAGATCTTGATGCCGAAGGAGAGACCTTAGGTCCAAACGGTGAGGTGTTTTGTATGAATTCATGGGATTCATTCCTTGATTTTCATGGGGGACCTGTAGTGGTGGGTTGTTGTATTATGTTCTCATACTAAATCCAAGTGTTTGTGAATGTGCTTCTCTAATATTAAAGAATGGAAGCTTTTAAGTTTTTACGCTTGGATTAAAGAGCTATCTTTGAATAATTTTTATTTCTTGCCACTTTTTATGCTGTTTTGTCATTTTACTCCCTTTTAATGTTTCTATCCTTAACTTTTTGTTATTATTTGTTATTTTCATTCAGTACTTCTTTCTTCACAGGCTAGATGGAAGAACAGAGAGTTCTGAAAGACAGAGGATTGTTGAGAGGTTTAATGAGTCTCTAAATAAGAGGGTAAAATGTACCCTGATATCAACTAGAGCTGGATCATTGGGTATCAACCTTCATTCTGCTAACCGCGTCATCATAGTCGATGGCTCTTGGAATCCAACTTATGATCTTCAGGCTATTTATCGAGCTTGGAGGTAGTTTAGTTTTCTCATACTTTTTCCAGTTATTACACAATAATAAATGGCTCTAGAAATTCAGTGGCCATGCACCGGATAAGCTAGTACGAAAAGAATCTATATAAATGAAGAACGGATACGCCCAATACATTAGAAACTCGTTGCCAAAAATACCTTTTCGACATAAAAAAAATTGGCAGTAATGTAATGAGAGTGTGGATTCCAAATAGTAACCTCCCATTGCTCGAGATCCGATAGCATGCAGCAACTAGTTGTAAGAAAGAGGGGGGAGGAGAAAGATTATACAAAGGTAGCCCGTCTTTACTTAGCTCGGCCCAAGCAATGCCCACTCCCATGCCTTTCTTGGTTGGACCAACCCATCCAACGATTTCTGCCTTCCTGAATTCGGAGAGACATTTTGTTATTTCTTTTTCATTCTCTTTTTTTAACAAGAGCCAGCCCTAACTCGGAAGCTACATTTGACAGTGAACACCAAAAAAATTATTTCGTTTTCGTAACGTTGTCTTTTAACCTTACAGATATGGCCAAACGAAACCTGTGTTTGCTTACCGGTTTTTGGCGCATGGAACAATGGAAGAAAAAATTTACAAGCGCCAGGTATGGTAAAACATTTCCTTAGATTTCACCATTATAGACGAGGGAATTCTTTTATGTACTTATATTTTACGAGAAGTATATTTTATAGGTAACAAAGGAGGGACTGGCTGCAAGAGTTGTTGATCGCCAACAGGTATACCGAACGATTTCTCGGGAAGAAATGTTGCATCTTTTTGAATTTGGTGATGATGAGAATCCTGAGGGTGCCACTGAGTTGGACCTAGGAAATGGACATGAACCTCACCAGACTATGACTGGGAATCACGGCAATGTGCTGAAGCAGAAAGGGCCTCTTTCACATGGAAGTTGCTCATCTGATAAGTTAATGGAAACTTTACTTGGCAAACACCATCCAAGGTAGATTCTTTAAACGTATTTATCATCTCTAGATATAAAACTAGTATGCAATTAGAACATTAGAAAAGTGCTTCCTTTGTTTTTAAGAACTTTATGGAGAAAATTTGAATCACAAAGTTTGACGAAGGGGAAAGGAAGAATGATCCACTTTTGTGGAAGCTTCTCTCTAGTAGACGTATTTTAAAAATCGTGAGGTTGACAGCGATACGTAACAGGCCAAAGCAGACAATATCTGCTAGTAGTGGGCTTGGGCTGTTACAAAATGGTATCAAAGCCAAACATCAGGTGGTGTGCTGGCGAGGACGTTGGCCCCCAAGGGAGTGGATTGTGAGATCCTACTTCGGTTGAAGAGGGGAATGAAGCATTTCTTATAAGGGTGTGGAAACCTCTTCCTAGTAGATGCATTTTAAAAACCATGAGGCTGACAACGATACATAACGAGCCAAAGCGGACAATATCTGCTAGCGGTGGGCTTGGGATGTTACGCACCCTTTGCCAAGATGAGCATTGAAAATAGGATATTACATTCTTTTTAACTTTTGCTTTCCTCCAAAATGACTAGATTTTGTGGTTTGGGTGTTAAACATTTGAAGTATGGAAATTCAGATTCCACCAAATTCCATATGATATTAGTACTGATTCCATCTCTTTGTTCAGATGGGTTGCCAATTACCATGAGCACGAAAAACTACTCCAAGAAAATGAAGAGGAAAAACTATCTAAGGAGGAGCAAGACATGGCATGGGAAGTGTACAGAAAATCATTAGAATGGGAGGAAGTCCAAAAAGTTTCACCAGGCGACACTACAGCCGAGCAAAAGCTAACCACATCGATCGTCACTGGTCCAGCACCCAAGACCATCGATCTGGCACAATCAAGGGCAAGGAACCGATTCATTACTCGTAAATGCACGAATCTTTCTCACTTGCTGACACTCAGAAGCCAGGGAACAAAGGTTGGTTGTAGTACAATATGTGGGGAATGTGCACAAGAGATAAGCTGGGAAGAGCTCAACAAAGATAGCAAGAAGTGAAGAACAGCTTCTTCCACCATTTCATCTATTTTATGCTCAGCTATTAAAAAGCTTCTTTAAGTAAGTCCAACTCTTCTAACAGAACACAGCAATTTCTTTTTGGAATATGAAGCCCCAACCTTACCCTCATTTATTATTGCCTTTTCTTTTCTTGTTTTTAGTTGGGGGATGAAGTTCTTAGAGAAAAGGGTAATATTCATATTGTTTAGTTGAAATTAGGTCTGTATAGATCTGTTTTTTATGATCACCGACTATAAGTTGAATGGAATAGAATAGCAGCAAGTTCTTGTTGCATTTAGGTTCATTGCTCCGAAACCTATAAATTTTTAGGGGGAATCGTTGACTTGTTTAGAAGTACTGTAGTGAAAGGAAGATAGGAGTTTGTCGCTCGATATTTGACCTGATCTTCATGAATTTATTGAAGATATTCTCCCTTCTTTGTTAGACTCTTGTACAATTACTAATTCTCCCTTATTTGACCTGATCTTTTTTTTTTTTTTTTACATTAGATTTGTTTTAAAAGTTTTGAATTATATATTGTACTTAAATTTGTTTGATATAATTATATAATTATTTACTTTCTAGGTTACTATTTACTAGAGAATTTTTTTTTTTTACAATATGCAAATTTGACTCACTTCAATTTTTTTGTTTTTTTGTTTTATTCTTAATCACTGTCTTTTTAGATTAAATTGGAGATATTCTCTTGAATTCCGAATTATAAAATATTAATTTTCTTCGATTTTATTTAGGGGTATTTAATCTGGATGAACAATTTGTGTATGACCCTATTTGTAAAAGGTAAAAATTTTAGTTCTTGTAGTGTTAAAAATCATTACTATATTTATACTTAATTATAATTTATCGTATATATCATATTTGATATTTTATTATAAGACAAATATTTAGATATTTGCTTTTTACCATAGGTATCTTTCCATTTTTACTCATCTTGCTTCAACAAGTCTCTTCTAATCTGCTCACAATGTATTTGCAAATCAAGTCTTAATCTTCACAATGTTTGATCCCATAAACCATTTGTTAGAAGTATCTAAAGTTGTCAAAGATGCGGCAAAAATGATAACATCTCGGTTTATGCATTTTAGAGCATCTCAATATTCTTTTTGAGATTTTTTTCGTTTGTTTCCCATAAACCAATTGTTAGAAGTATTTAAAGTTGTCAAAGATGCGTCAAAAATGATAACGTCTCGATTTATGCATTTTAGAGCATCTCAAATATTCTTATATTCTTTTTTAGATTTTTTTACATTAATTCTTCCTTCTCTTGGCTGCTTTAATGTAACGATTCAGATCTACCGCTAGTAGATATTGTCCTCTTTGGGTTTTTCCTCTAGGCTTCCCCTCAAGGCTTTAAAATGCGTATATCAGGAGAAGGTTTCCACACCCTTGTAAACGGTGGTTTGTTCTCCTCCCCAATCAACATGGGACATCACATTCAAATTCTTTTTTCACCAACATTTTTCTAAAAAGGTATGTTTTGCTCCAATTGCTCGATTTCTATACAATAAACAAAATTACCAAAAACTATGATCTAGAAATAACACATGTTATGTGCTATCAAATATTTCCGAACTTAGGCTTTTTCTTCGTCCTTTGCCAAATAAAACAAAGAGTCTAATTGGTGTTATAATTTCTAGAATGCAAAATGCAACCAAATCTCAAGTTCCTCCAACACCAATTTTTTATTAAAAAAATGATAATATATAAACAATTTTGAATAAATTTATTACATGTTAAATTTTAACACAATCAATAAAATGTATTTTAACATTAAATCATCCTTTCAGTTATTTTTAGCATTTTATGATAATAGTGACTTAATTGAAAAAAAAAACAATTAATCAAATTAAAATTAAAACTTTAAAAAGAATTGGACCAAAATGAAAAATAAAAAATAAAAAACTAAAGTTTATATTTAGTCAAAATATCATATAAATATAAGACTTTTAACCTTTTTTTTTTTTTTTTTTTTTACAAAGTTGACCATATGTCAAAAATTTAGTAATTTATTACAGCCATTAGCAGCATATTAGATGACCAACTTTAGTATTTTAAATTTTAACCCCAAAAAAATAAAGTACAATGTTAGCTCCAAATTGGATGAAGGTAGGCAGGAAACTCAATACAATCCAATATTCTAAAGACGAAAAGAGAGTCTCCGACGAGAAAACTTCATAAATAAATAAATAATGAATTTAGATATCGAAATTTTGCAAGTTTCTTTTACAATCTAATATCTTAGAGACGAGAGAACTTTATGGAATGGGTCGAAGTGCATGCAAACTATCTCGAACATTCACAAACAAAAATAAATAAATAAAATATATGTTGATTCCATATTTGTGAGATTCTTCGTCAGTTGGAGAACGAGGCATTCTTATAAGGGTGTGAAACCTCTCACTACCAGACGCGAGATAAAAACTTTGAGGGAAAACCCAAAGGAAGGTGGACACGAAGCGGTATGCCAACAAGACATTGACTCTTGAAGGGGGTGGATTTGGAGGTCTCATAAGAAAACGAGTGTTAGCGAGGATATCCTAAGCCCCAAAGGTACCACTAATCATTCTTGTAAAGAATGCAGAAATCTATACCTACCAGACACATTTTAAAAACTTTGAGGAAAACCCGGTGAATAATCTCCTTCCTTTGAATATATGTTTGAATATATGTTGATTTAAAGGTAAGTGCTAAGCCCCCTAAAGTTTTCTGTACAATTCACCTACCATTAGCAGGCTTTAGAATAGATCCACCAGAACCAGAGCAAAGTTAACACAAGATCAATGAAACTCACCTCAAAATCAATGAAACCCATCAGCAAAACTGCACAATTCTTCTTCCTCCTCCTCTTTTTACATTGCCACTCTGAATCAGACCACACAGCCTTAATATACCACCACTGCACCAACAGCCAAACACCCACATCAACATCAACGTCCGAAGCCCTCTCATCCCTCTTCAAATCCCTCATCACACACTCCACAAACTCCACCTTCCACACACAAACCACCGCCCAAAACGGCATCCCCATCTCCGGCGAGTACCAATGCAGAGGCGACATGAGTTCCACCGCCTGCCAAACCTGCGTTACTCAGCTAGGCATTTTGTCGAACAGGTTGTGTGCAGGAGCTAGAAACGCGCGCGTGCAGCTGAGGGGGTGTTACATGCGGTACGAGACGGACGGGGAGGTTGAAGAGGAAGTGAAGAATTGGGAGTTGGTGCATAAGGAGTGTGGAGAAATTAAGGGCTATGCTTATGATGAAGGGACCGGCGCGAGAAATGGGGCGCTGTGGGCGGTGGAGGAGGGGATTGTGAGGAGTGGAAATGGGTTTTGGGAGGCGCGGAATGAGGGAGTGAGGGCGGTGGCGCAGTGTGAGAGGGCGCTGTTTGGGTGCGATTGCGCGGAGTGTGTCGGCCGTGCTGCGGAGGTTGCGCAGGACGACTGCGGCGGTGCGCTGTCTGCTGATGTTTATTTGAATGGATGCTATCTCAGCTATGCTACCTATGCCTACCCCTCAGGTAATTTTCCCTCTTTCAAAAATATAGAAAAGACATTCTTGCCCCTGATCTTACCACGTCGTATGAACATCCCTACTTCCAAACATTCATTTTTCGATCCCGTAAATTCTTTAAATAGAATTTCGTAAGGATAGAAAAGTCATTCTCGTTCGTGTTCCTATCCCGTCCTGTGAACGTTCTTATTTCAAAGCATTCATTTTTTTTATCTCGTAAGTTCCTCATCCCTGTTCCTGTTCCTACCATGTCCCGTGAACGTGTTTATTTCAAAACATTCATTTTTTTTATCCCGAAAGTTTTCCATCCTCGTCCTTGTACCTATCTAGTTCTGTGAACGTCCTTATTTTAAAGCATTCATTTTTTTAATCCCGTAAGTTACTCATCCCGTCCTTGTTTTTACCACGTTTTATGAACATTCTTATTTCAAAGTACTCATTATTTTTATCCCGTACGTTTTCCATCCCCATCATTTTTTCCCTGCAAGTTCCACATCCTCGTCACTATTCCAATCACGTCCTGAGAACATCCCTATTCCAAAACATTCCTTTCGATCCCGTAAATTTTCAAAGTAGATTTTCGCAAGGATAGAAAAGTCATCCTCGTCCTTGTTCCTACCACGTCACGTGAACATCCCTATTCCAGAGCATTCTTTTTTTTTAATCCCATAAGCTCTCCATCCCCGTCCCTATTCTTACCACGTACTATGAACATCCCTATTTCAAAACATTCTTTTTTTTATCCTACAAGTTCCACGTCCCTGCCCCTCTTCGTACCACGCTAAGCGATAAATCCCTATTTCAAAATATCATTTTTTTATCCCGTACATTCCCTTAAAAAAAATCGTAAGGACGGAAAAGTCATTTGCATCTCTATCCCCACCTCGAGAACTTCCTTATTTTCAAACTTTCAGTCTCTAAACTATTTGATAACACAACTTATACACGGGTTGTTAGGTTAAATTGAGTTGATCGAGTTCTTCACATCACTAAATCTTGAACCTATATATATATATATATATAAAGAATATTAATTAAAAATATTATTGGAAAATGAAAAATAATTATATAATATTATTTGTTCTATCTTTAAAGGTTACAAGAACAATGGTTCAAGTGGGAGGGTAGCAGCTCTTGTGTTGGGTGGCTTTGCATCCATTGGATTAGCCCTTATTCTCCTCATGTTTTTCAAGTCTTGTGGAAAAAAAGATGATTATTAATTAACTTTATTACAATTTATATTTTAAAATAATGCAATAATATTACTTCTTTATTATAATATATGCTGCCCGATCAACGACGACGGCCACCCACCGCTACCAGATACGGTCCTTTTTGGGCTTTCCCTTTCGGGTTCCCCCTCAAGACTTTAAAACGCGTCTGCTAGGTAAATGTTTCCACCCCTTCAAGGCCCAGCGTCCTCGCTGGCACCGTTCCTTTCTCTAATGTGGGACTCCCGCCAAATCCACCTCCCCCTTCAGGCCCTAGCGCCCTCGCTAGCACTCGTTCCTTTCTCCAATCGATGTCGGACTCTGATATGCGCCTGCAATGCTGGAATTTGCAAAGCTAGAGGGTCCTTCTAGAATCCTTGCAAACATTTATAGAGAATGCTAACTTAACGGATTGATTCCAACCAAGAGCTGGTTAGGAGATGAATGACTCTTAGATCGAACTTGGAATCTATGATGGTCACTCTTAGATACCAAGACGATTCACTTCAGAATTGGCTTGATCATGGCTAATCGAAGGAATCGATTTTTAACATCAAACCTAAAGCAAGGTTTGAAAGAAACATACCACCCAAAGGTTCTTGTATTCGAGCATGATTTCAAAATTGAATATTACATGTCTTTAAATAAGCCCACAAAATAACTCTATCACCCCCGACTACAAATTACTAATAAATGCTATTAAATACAAACTGAAGAAAATAAGTTATTCATAAATTGGGTAGTTCAACTTCAAGTCTTCTGATCACTTTCCAATATCAGCCACTCCATTATTTTCTTGATTTGATACTTGAATCTTCTTTGTATTGTTTCTTGTAATTGCACGTTCGGTACATGTAAGTGATCAATTGTTGGATTCATATCAGACTCCCACCAAATCCACCTCATTTGGGGCCAGCGTCTTTGCTGGCACACCGCCTCGTATCTACCCCTTCAGGGAACCGCCTCCTTACTGGCACATAGTCTGGTGTCTGGCTTTGATACCATTTGTAACGCACAAGCCCATCGCTAGCAAATATTGTCATCTTTGGGCTTTCCCTTCCCTTCAAGGCTTCAAAACATGTCTTCTACAAAAAAAGGTTTCCACACTCTCACAAAAGGTGTTTCGTTTTCTTCACCAACTAATGTGGGATATCACAACCATCGGTGACCACTGCAACCCACCAGTAGCAACAAACGACAATCACTCGAGCAATATAAACATTATTTATTTACTTGAAATTATGATAGTATTCTTATGCAATATCAAACAATCATCACATTTACCGACATTCCATTTTAAAGTATTTTATTCTCAAATATCTTAAAACAAAATAAACGCCGTAACAGAATCAGAATAAGAATAACATTTTTATTTCGATCATCGTGTTTACTAAAATTCACAAATTAAATTAACCGATGGGACCCACGGCTAATTTGAGATTCCGACTCCATTCGAAGAGGAATCACATTCCTCTTCTAAAATCTCGTCAATCTCGTGCCATAACCTTTTCATTAATTATTTTATATCCACTAATTTATCTCGTCTCACGCGTTTCTAATTTTATTTTACAATTTTCCTAATATTTTTTTTTTCGTTCTTATAAAAATAAAAACATACTCTATTTTGATATCTAATATTTTTATAAAATTAAAAATTCCCATTTAATTTATTAATTATTTTGTTAGAGTGGAATATTTGTTAATATATGTTCTTTCAATTAAAAAAAAATATATATTTAATATATTTTAGTTGATGTAATTATTTATTATTTTTAACAATAAATCAATTATTAAAATAAACAACACTATTATCAATTAAAATAGTACTAAAATAAAATAATATTTTTATAATGGATTATTATTATTATTATGTTAATTAAATTAGAAGTTATACAAAAAAAATTGGTAAAATCGTACAAACCAATAGGATTGTAACACGTATAAGGTACATGGATTTTGCGTGTAGCGCGTAGCAGAGGAATGGGGTAACGAACTCGACCCCACACATGATTCTCTCTGGAAAAATCGGTCCAGACTTGGCTCGCAGAGTACCTGTAACCCGTTCGTCATTCTTCCTCATCTTCCCACTACCCGAACACTCAATCTCTCAAAACCATACCAGATTCTTCTCTCCTTGAAGTTCTCAATCAATGGTGGCTTCGTTTCTTCACTCCTGGATTTTCGACTTCATTCGCTACTGAAAACTTGCGTACTACGCCATTGCGGTTTTTGGAGAGCTTTTTTGAACTCTGTGATTGATGAAGCTTTGAAAGGAGTGGTAACGCTCGTTTTTGGAGTTTTTCTTTTGCATGTGCTCTTGTTTTCTCTGTTTTTCATTTTCTTTATGCTCTTTGCTTTGAGTTTTGAGTCTTTTCGTCTTGTTTGGATGCTGAGAGTGTTTGTTTTGTACGTTTGAACGTCTTGGAAAGACCGCTGCTACCTACTGCATTGATGTTGTTCGGTTTCTTTCTGTTTGATCTTGTATTGGTAATGGTGAACCGCAGTCTGGCCGTTGAAGTTTTTGTGTTTTCTTGAATGTTTTCCTTTTTCATTGGCTGTTTAAAATCGATTTTTGCGGAATCTAGGGAGAAATGTGAACAAATGCATTGTTGTGTTTCTCGTTTTCGTTTCTATGTCTATAAAGGATCGATTTGCTGCGTTTTCTTGTGGCTATGATGATGATGATGAAGTAGAAGAGTCTTGTGTTTTGAATTCTGCTATTGTCGAGATGAGTTTACAAATTTTAATTGTGGTAGGAGATCTATTGAGTTTTGTTTACGTTTACCAAGTGTATAGTTCAGTTCATCTTTGTTTGATACTCTGCTTGCAACCATTTCTACAGTGTTCTTGGTATACGAGCTATTTTCTTTAAAATCCACATGCAAGGGATTCCTCTGTATATTTTACCCATTTCATGAAATTAGACATTTTTCTAATTTTTTGAATGTATTCTTGCTGCATGTTTGTCATTTTTTCCGATTTCTTTCATTCTGTTCATATCTATTTTAGAGATTTTGAAATTTGTTCCAATGAATTTCGAGATTGCTCAGATTTTATGTATGAACTTAGTAATATGTAGCCCAACGTTCTCATTTTTTGTCTATAATTTACTCTAGTATAGGAAACAGGTTTCCTTGAATTCCATCAATATTTGGGTGTTCCAATGTCTTCGAAAGAGAAAATTGTCAAGGCATTGAGTGCAACAAGATCAATAGGAATTCCTGATGACCAAGTAAAACCAATTTTGAGGGATCTGCTAAAGACGTATGATGGAAACTGGAAGCTCATTGAAGAAGACAACTATCGCACCTTAGTAGATGCATATTTTGAGCACAAGGAAAATGAGGTTTCTATTTATACTTTTCTCCTTTTAAGAAAGCTATGTCAGAGACTGATCTTTTATTGTGTTGTGAATAGGAATTAGAAGGAAAGAGAGGCGGTCTTTTGCATGACCAAAATTCTCCAATTTCTCTAAAGAGACCACGTGAAGGAGAACAACAGAATCAGGCTTTGCCCACCATTGGTAGCTCAAGCCATAAATCAGTTGTAAGGGAGGATAAAATGTCTGAAGTAAATGCTGGACAGGAAACTACGAAGTCGATTCAACATGGTATAGTCATTAGGCCCAGTGAAAATTTGTCATCAGTGAAACCCATTTCAGCAATTCATCCAGGTATTTATTTATAATTTTGAATATTAAAAATGGCAATATATTTGTCTAAGGAACGTCATTTTGTTATCTGATTACTTTTACAGTACAGTTAATACCAAGTTTGCTGTTTAAAGTGAACCCTTGTTTGGGCTCTTAAAATATGCATCTACTAAGGTATATCAATGATGTACTTTATCTACAAAAATGGTACATGAGTGATATACTAAATATTGGCTATGTTAGTGATGTGCTTTACACATAAATGATATTTTACTAATATACTTTATAGTAACAGCCCAAGCTCACCGCTAGCAGATATTGTCCTTTTTAGACTTTTCCTTTCGGGCTTCCCCTCAAGATTTTTAGAACGCGTCTGCTAGGGAGAAGTTTCCACACCCTTATAAAGAATGGTTTGTTCCCCTCTCCAACCGACGTGGGATCTCACAATTCACTCCCCCTTTAGAGCCTAGCATCCTCGTTGGCACTTGTTCCCCATCCAATCGATGTGGGATCTCACAATCCACACCCCCCCCTTGGGGCCAGCATCCTCGCTGGCACTCATTCCTCTCTCCAATTGATGTGGGATCTCACAATCCACCCCCTTCGGGGCCCAGCGTCCTTGTTGGCACTCCATTCAGTGTTTGACTCTAATACCATCTCTAACAACTCAAACCACCCCTACAAATATTGTCCTCTTTGGGCTTTCCCGCAAGATTTTTAAAATCCGTATACTAGGAAGAGGTTTCCACACCCTTAGAAAGAATGTTTTGTTCCCCTCTTCAATTGATGTGGATCTCACAAGACATATCAATGATACAAAAATGGTACAACAATGAATATGAGGGAAAGTTCTCCATATTTGCAAATGATTTTTTTCATGTAACAAATTTACAAATATGACGTATAATCTTACCATTCATTCTAATTTTCCTTTAATTAATTTCTTTATAATTTCCCTTCAATTAATTGTTATAATTAGCGAAGTTGGTGGGAAGTTATCATGGCTACTTGCTTGGAAAATTGGTTGGAGTGGGACCATGAAGATTTTGAAGTCAAAACCTGAGATAATCATTGATCTGAATGCTATGGATTAAACATGCTGCCTATGTTGTAGATGGAATTTGGCCTAAAACCTGTTGTGATTAACCTTTTTTTTTTTTTTTTCCTATTAATGCCAAAAGAATAACTTTTTTGACAATCTACTTTGGCTTTGAGATTGGTGGTATATATGATCTCCAATTCGTGTTCATTTCTTTTGTTATAAACATATTGTTTCAAAAAAAAAGTTTCATAAGCAGCCCAGCCAGAAACGGGTGCTGCTGAGTCTTTGTCATCTCATTTGGTAGATAGGAATTAGAACAGGGATATCTAATTTAAGCCAATTAGGTCATTTGACACTTCTTCCTTACCCTTGGAGAAGTAAAATTTGAAAAACTGACTTATCCTTCGCATCATCTAAAACAGCTGGAAAACCATGATTTTCTGTGAAAATATTGTGTTATCTGTCACAGATTGTTTCTCGTAATCGATTATTTTAATAGATGAAGTGCAGTTAAATTTCTTTTAAATCTGTTCTTAACTTCTCTGGTGGTACCCTTCCTTTTTGCTGAATCAGATAAGAATGCATTTACAAATGGTAACATGGAATGCAATTCATACCAGATTTGCTCAAGTTCTTCTCAGTGTGCGAGGCCACTGAGTACTGCACCTTTTCAAGATCAATGCAGCAGTTATATTAGCAAGTGTTCAACTTCTTCTGAGCACGTGGGGCCAATTACTCGTGATCAACATAATAAAAGAAATAAAAGTCATTCTTTGTATAATATGTATGACTTGACAAAGGGTGCAGAGAAAGTTAAAATATCTTGGGTTAATGAATTAGGAAATGAGTCTATCCCTAAGTTCAATTACATACCAAACAACATAATTTTTCAAAATGCCAATGTCAGCATTTCAATGGCTCGGATTTCAGAGGACGAATGCTGTTCAAGTTGCTCAGGTGATTGCCTTCTATCATCTTATCCATGTGCTTGTGCTCGAGAAACTGGTGGGGATTTTGCTTATACACAAGAAGGTCTACTGAAAGAAGAATTTCTGAATCAATGTATGTCTATGGGATGCGAGCCTAAGAAGGAACATCTTTTTTATTGTGAAGATTGCCCAATCGAGAGGTTAAAGAATGACTGGAAGCCTGAGCGGTGCAAGGGTCATTTGCTCAGGAAGTTTATCAAAGAATGCTGGAGCAAATGTGGATGTGACATGCAATGTGGAAATCGAGTCGTACAACGAGGTATTTCATGCAAATTGCAGGTCAGATTTATTTATATCTTCCTATGATGTTCCTGTTCTGAAACTGTTTTCCTCCAACTTGTATAATTCACGATGTTGTTGGATATTATTGATTTAACCTGTTCATTATTGACCTCATTCAATAAAGTACTACCATAAAAATCTCAAAAGAGTACCTGTACCTGAAACCAATGTCATTGGGTAGGTAGGGAATTCCTAGGAGTGTAGACATCTCTTTTTAAGGAACTCAAGCCTTAACTTAAGAGAGTTTATGTGGAGTACTTTTCACTCTTCCTTCACAATACTACTTCACTATTGGTTAACATGGAGTATTTGGTCTTCTAGGGTGGTTCATACTAATTCAGAAAATTCTCATAAGATCTTATCAGTATAATTAAAAAAGTTTGGTTGCTTCAAACTTCAATAGATAGGTTTTGATCTGTTTATTTGAGTAGCAAGACAGAGAAATGAACGTGGAAGCTGTTAAATTATTTCTTTCGTGCATTGTTTTATTTTGTCAAGTTCTGGCCTTTGCATTTTTCTTGATATTTTCCCCTTGGTGATTCTTTTAAACTGGCTCGTGAACCTTCATGATGCATATGACAATATAAAGGAAATGGATACTTGTTTGACTTGGTAACCTTAAACCAGATTTCTTGCGACTTGATTTTAGCTAAGATACATGCTTTGACCTCCATGTTTCAGGTTTTCTTCACTCGCGAAGGAAAAGGATGGGGTCTCAGAACTCTAAATAACTTGCCAAAAGGGTCTTTTGTCTGTGAGTACGTTGGTGAAGTACTGACGAATACAGAGTTGTATGATCGAAATATGCAGAGAACTGGCAATGAGAGGCATACATATCCAGTAACTCTTGATGCGGACTGGGGCTCAGAGGGAGTTTTAGAGGATGACGAGTTACTCTGTTTGGATGCAACTTATTATGGAAATGTTGCAAGATTTATCAACCACAGGTATTGTAAGCATTGCATACACATTATTTTATTTTGCTTAAATTTCCTTTAATGGAAGTTTACTGCACGAGATATGGATTTTTCAAATGCTCTCATTCCTTTACTGCATCTTTAAAGTTATAACTTCTATTTTTTTATGTGTTGTTGCTGCTGATATGTTACATGTATGTCTGAGATACAAGAATTTATTTAATGCAACTATAGAAGTAGGAATATAGGAATCCTAAGACGTGAAAAGAAAAAGAAAAAAGAAGTAAAATTTGAGTCTACTAGGTAAAATTCCGTATTTCATTGGTATCTTTATTGAATTGGAGAGAATACTGATATTCTATTATATTATGCTTATATAGAAGAAAGTCTCACTACAACGTAAGCAGAAAATAAATACAATAAAGACTAAATATTAACGACTAATATGTATAATACTTATAAACATTACAAATTCCAACAATCTTCCTTTCCTTAAACAAGATAATCTGTTGGTTGATCTGTGATTGATCTAAGTATCGGTTGAACTTCATGTAAAATACAGAAAGGAATAAATTATTAGGCAACCCCATAGATTAAAGAAGGTTATTTTTACTGAGATTATTTCGTTTCCATTAAACTTTTTTTCAGGGCATTATTTTCCGTATATGAATATATATATATGCATACATTACAATTTATAATCCATGTAACTCACTTCCCTAACTTCAATGTATTTTGTTTTTCTTCTTTAGATGCTCTGATGCAAATTTGATCGACATTCCTGTTGAAGTCGAAACCCCCGATCACCACTATTATCATGTATGAATCTTAACAAACTTATAAATGTTCACAACTCAGGTGTCGCTGTCTTTGGGGAAAAAAAAGAATATTACTCTGCCCTTTCTACTGGAAAATGGAAGCATCTTATATTTAGCTAAAGAAATCCGTCTAATTTCATTTCGCATCCTGTATGTGCAGCTTGCTTTTTTTACCAGCAGGGAAGTGAAAGCTTTGGAAGAGCTTACATGGGTAGGTATGCTTGACTAACAAAACTAAGCTCTATTCTGATTTATTTTTATATTTAATTAAAATTTTGATTTTTGATCCTCTATTGTGTTGAATGCTTTTAAGTTCTAACTAGTTGGATTTGGGCACTTTCTTGTTAGGTTTGAACTTTTCTTTTCTTGATTTTGTGGCTAAATTTTGTAATTTTGTGATTGGGGTTGAGCATTTCTTTGACATGATTTTGGGGTGATGTGAATTGAATTTTAAATGATTTATCGGTTAATTTATGGGAAACCTTCAAATTTAGTTTTGAGGAGGTATTAACAACCATACGGTTATGCTTAGGACTTACATTTGGTGACATTGATAGTTTAACATTCAAATTAACTTGCACAGGTAACATTAGGGGTAAAAATTAAACTTCTTCTGAAAAGATGTTACTTTTATTGGAAAAGGAAATTTAAAGTTAATATGCTAAAATATATGTTCAATATATTTAACACTTAAAAATTATTATTAATATTTCTATTTCAGTTCATTTTACAGAAGTAATTAAAAAGTACTAATATTTGAAGTTGTGTCTAATAATTGTTTGCCACACGTTCACAGTGCTGGATACATGTTTACTAATATTTTAAGTTGTACTTTATTCTACCATATGCGCCACTGATTATACATGATCTTGAAGTTTTACGTTTGTGAGAATCACAGGACTATGCAATTGACTTTGACGATGAAGATCATCCTGTGAAGGCATTTGAATGCTGTTGTGGAAGTGGGTTTTGTCGAGATTCGAAGAAGAAACACAAGGAAGCACTTTCATAGGTACATTGCGTTCTATTCATTCATTTCTTTCCATCCTAAAGAACTCGTTTTCATTAAATTGGTTTATGTCAATTTGTCAAATTCCATCATCATAGTCCAAGTGGTAGGATTGATAAGTGAGCCATTCTAGTATTTGTGTCCAAAACTAGATTTGTATCTTTCATTACCCTTACTAATGATTACTCTCATATAACTTGGTTATATTTTATGAAGGGCAGTTGCTTTCTCACTTCTGTTATTTTCATGTTGAAATTCGAACTTAGTTTGACATTTCCTTAAAAAGTCTTGAGGTAGACAATCTTGGTGAGTGCTTTCTCACTTTTGTAATTTTCATGTTGGAATACGAAAAAGGTTTTTAAAACGCGTCTACTAGGGAGAGGTTTCCACACCCTTATAAAAAATGTTTTGTTCTCCTCCCCAACCGATGTGGGATCTCACAATCCACCCTCCTTTGGGGCCCAGTGTCCTCACTGGCACTCATTCCCTTCTCCAATCGATGTGGGACGCCCCAATCCACCCCCTTCGGGGCCTAGCATCCTTACTGACACACTGTCTTGTGTCCCCCCCTCTAGGCCTCAGCCTCCTCGCTAGCACATTGTCCGGTGTCCGACTCTGATACCATTTGTAACTGCCCAAGCCCACCCCTAATATATATTGTCCTCTTTGGGTTTTCCCTTTCGGGTTTCCCCTCAAGGTTTTTAAAACGGGTCTGATAGGGAGAGATTTCCACACCCTTATAAAGAATACTTTATTCTCCTCCCCAACCGAGGTGGGATCTCACAGTTACGTTTTCCGTCCTAGAATAATTAAAATAAGTAACAAGAGAGTGATTAAAAAAGAATCTCAGAATCTATTACATCAATTTGTTTAAGTCATATATAGAGAATTTATTTAACCCATGCATAGGATATTTGTGAAAAAGATGTACATTAGTCAATCCTTATTTGTCACTAGTCTGATGGGAACAGGTTGCAGGTCGAGTGGAGCAATAAACGAGGAATAAAAAGGCGATCAATCCTTCATCTTGGATGACTTTTTTGGTTCATCAGAAATTTTCCCAGGTTAGTGTTCATCCATCCACTTTTTACAGCTTTCCAACCATTGTCACTTCTAGTTTCTGCACGTTTTCCTATACATATCTCTTACTTCTTTGAGATGTCTTCTCTATCTCTTGTTATGCTTCCCAGTTTTTTTTTTTCGTCTTTTTTCCCTCGCACTATTGTCTGAAAGTTTACTTTTTCATAACTAATTTTCTAACTAGTAATTTCTTTTTATGGCTTGATTACCATTTTCAAAAGAACAAAATATTTATTATTTATTATATAGTTGATATTGTCCGAAAATTTTAGAGCAAAAATTATTTTATACCCTTAAATTTTAGGAGTCATACTACTAGAAAGATCTACACAATGGTATGATATTATTCACTTTGAGCATAAGCTCTCATGGCTTTGCTTTGGGCTTCCTCGAAAGGTCTCATACCAATGGAGAGGTAAAAATGGTTACAAGTGAGTACCATGATCATTTCCTAAATTAGCCGATGTGGGACTTTCATCATCCAACACCTCCCCTCGAACAAAGTATGCCTCCCCTTAATCGAGACTCAACTCCTTTGGAGTCTTAGTCATTTTTTACTGCCTTCGAGGAGGCTTGACTTCTTTTCTTTTGGAGTCCTTTGTTCGACATTTGAGGATTTACCAATATATTGGCACGACTAAGTTTAGGGCATGATTCTGATACCATGTTAGACGAACACGACTCTCCACAATGGTATGATATTGTCCACTTTGAGCACAAGCTCTCATGGCTTTGCTTTGGGCTTCCCCCAAAGGTCCCATAATTGTGGAGAGAGTATTCTTTGTTTATAAATCCGTGATCATTCTCTCTATATATATATAAATAAAAAGCTTAATTCTAAAAAAACAAAAACTAAATGACTATCGAACAGTCCGATACCGAAATGAGTATCATGCATTTGAGGAGTGAAAATAATAAATAATGGTTTTAGTGTACAAAAAATAGGTATATTGAAACAAAAACAATTAACATAATGTATTACGCCTAATTATGTTCTTGTTGTTTACACATGTTTTAGGTGATGGATGGCCTGCAACAACTATAGCAAGAATGAGAAACTACTGTGTAGGTCTGTTATAGGAGAATCGGTATGTCAATATTTTATTCTCAACCTTACAACTCTGTACAGTTTTTCTTTACTTTCTCGTCGTACTCTTGAAACGCTTTAATGCGTTTTCTTGTAATTTCATCGGTTGAGCTAGCTAGAAAATATATTCTCGATCAAAAGATTAGAGATTCGAAGTATTCATAGATGGAGCAGTTTAGGGAGTAAACTTTGTAACTAATAGTAGTCGAGGGTGTAAGTGGTTCGGTTCGAACTTCTCATAATGTTGAGAAACTGTGCCGACCGAACCAACTAGACCGTCGATTGGTTCGGTTCAACCCTTTGAAAGTTGAATCTCATTTCTAAAGAATTGAGATGGGAATTAGGAATGTACGAAAGAATCAAAATCAAGGGGAAAGATAAAGAACCGGATCCTAAACCGAGCCGAAAATTCGTTTAGGCGGTTTAATCGAGTTCCTCAAATTGGATTAAAAATGTCTTGATTAGAAACTAAGTTCTAATTTCAATAATCCATCTTAACTTTTCTAATTTCAATAATACTTCTGTTTATATTTTTAAATTTCATTAATTTTATGTGATATTCCAAAATATTAATTGACATTTAGTATTTGATATAAAACTGAATTTTATCATTTTTAAATTTAAATGTGTGATACAGATGTATTAAAACTTAGAGCAAAAAATTAATTTTGGAAGTGAGTTTTCTCTTTTTTTTTTTTTTTTTTTTTTTTTTTTTTTTTTTTAGCTTAGAGAGATTCAAACGTCTAATCGATTGATATATATCATAATTAGTTGAGCTACGTTCAAGTTGACGTCGTAAAATTTCGTAGGCTTTTAGATGTGTACTTCAAAAAATAATTATCTTCCTTATCGTACATCAATCATTAGTTTGATTATTGAACAATTTAATTAGCAAGTCATTTGGGCCGGGAAAATTGAAACTTATTTCATTCATTTTAGTTCGTGTAGTGTTGAAATCTAATATTTGGAGTTTCAATAAATCTTAAAATTAGTCGAACAAATAATCTCCATATATATCTATGACTCTCTTAAATTTTTACTCATTCAAAGCATTTTTTGTATGTGAGAAACTCCCTCTCAGATCTCTCGCTACTCTCCTTCATTTCCACGTTTGCATCATCATTTAGTCGACTCGAGATCGCCCTTCATTCTTTCATCACTGCTTGGTATGTGGTTGTCGTGGAGCTTCTCCATTACTGATCTAATGTAGTTGTCTATGCTGAATTGTTGTAATTTATGTAATTTATAATGTATGAATAAAAAACAATACGTATTTAAATACATGAATGACTTTCGTATCCAATTTAATACGTATTTAAATACATGAATGACTTTTGTATTCAAAAGTATGATATATATTTTGTTGGTAATTAAGTTTTTCATTTCGCAAATTCTTGCATTTAAAACTTACATGCTAAAGTCATTCAAGTGGTGTTGATCAACTCTTTTGTAGAGTTATTTAAATCACGAGTATAGAAACAGATTTTTTTACTCTTAATTTTAATCATCACAGGTAATCCATTATAAACTTTCCATTAATTTTATATCACTTTTTTAAGTTATTGGATGATTTAAATCTAAAGACCGTGGTATAAAATAAGATTGTCAGATCAGATTTTCATAGTCTAGATAATAGTTATCCTCTATTCTAATATATGTCATACAATACATATTATATATATATATATATATAAATAGTTAATTATTCAATTGGATTGTTATACTCATCAAAATTTATATAATTTTATTAAATTTATTTATTTGAGGATTTTATTAAGATTTAATACTAGATAGACTAAAAATAATACATTATTCTTAATATACTTATTAATTAATAAAATTAAATTTAACTAATTAAAATTATTTTTTACTAATCAAATAGGTAATATAAAAATTTAGGAAGACGGATAATTAAAAACAACCGGTAGAAAATTTTATAATTTAAACAAAAATTTAATAAATAGTTTATAACTCGTGAAAATTTTAAATAATAATAATAATAATAATTATAATAATGATAATAAATAAGTAAATAAATAAATAAATTACATTTTTTTGGGGTTCATTTAACTGCTCTGTAGTTAGGGCTCCATTGCAGGTGCTCTCTGCTTCCAATTTCCTCCCTCCCCAATTCGTTCATCAGTTCTACTTCTTTCATTACTCTTCCATCTCCGTCAATGGGCAAGGCGGTGATCTCCGATGAAGAAGGTTTGTTCTTGTCTTTGTTCTTTCACTTTTCGCTTGGATTTTCTGGTTCTCTTTGCATTCTTCCCTCTCTTCTCACTCGGTTGTTTCTGTAGATGAGGTCGAATTGGACGACCGAGAGCCGCTTGACGGTGATGATGTCGACGGTCGTAATATGGAGGACGAGGAAGATGAAGAAGATGGTTTGTGTCTTTTTTCTTTATTTTTATCTGAAATTGTTGGTTGTATTTTTTTCTCGGATTTTCTTTTAGTGTCTTGGATGTTTTTGGGTATCTGTGGGTCGATTGGTGGTCAGTGTGTCGGTTCTTTATTTCTTTAATCTTTTGTTAGTAATATATTACTCCTCCCACCCGCTCTATTGTTCTCCAATTCGGTTATAGAGGATGAGAAACAGTGACAATTTTTCAATTTATGGCCAGAATTGTTGAGCTGGGGTGAGGACTAAGGGTGAAACTGAGGGTGTGGCATATTTGTAACTCGTTAGGGTATGTGGCGTATCCTAAGAGTTTCGTGAGTCAGTGATTGTCTAATGTTTAGGTCTTGCATTATCTATCAGTAGGTTGACTCGGCTTGAAGAAATTCGGATAAGTAACTCTTTTCATGCCTTCGGGGTATTCCTTCTAGCCATGGGTGATTTAAGGGGCGAATAGAAACTTCATGACGACTTTATGTCTTTAGATGTGTTTTAGGAATGATAGAAGTAATGAGACGTAGCAGGAACTGTTTTCGTGACCACGATGAATCACAAAGTTTCTAGCTACCTTCTGATGGGTCTTCTATTTATGCTGTGATGGGTGATTGCTTTGTATTTATAGCATCAGATCGAACTTTGTGATTACTGAGTTCTAAATGGCACTCTGCTCAATGCTTTTTCAATATAAGGCTCTATATTACTGAAAACATGTTTACACGTGCTCGGGAACAGTCTGGAGTCTTAGTCTTATATAGGCCATTCGGTAGTTTTCTCAAAAGATTGTCAGTAGTTCATTGGAAGAAATATCTTTGCTTCATATAGAAAAAAGAGTACTTCTTTTTTTCTGGGTTCTTGATTGAACTAGGAACATTTGTAACTGAAGTGCAATTGATAACTGGTGTATTGTAATGTATAGAAAGTGAGATACTTTATTGTGAGTTTATTTGGGGGAAGAGGAATTTTTTCTTCTTAATCTTTTCTCAATCGTCTCAGTTGATTATAGGTCTTAAGGTGAATGTGGATGAATGTTTTATTCTTTGCGTTATCCATAACAAGGTGTTGCACCTTTGCATTT